ATTTTTCTTAGTTCATTTAAAATTTGTTGTAAAATATTCCAGCTTTTAGTTCTGTCTCAAGTCAATTTCTGACATAATCTTCCCTTTCGATCATTTAAAAGCATGCTATTTTTGTTCTGAGCAGGAAAAAACCTGACATCAGAAATACGGCTTATAGGAAACAAGGATTTAGGGTCTACTCCTTGTTCCTTGCATTCATCTTGACGGATCTTTCTTTTAATAAATAATGTAGTATTCCAGGATCAAAATGGAAGACCAAATTAAAACTGAAAAGGAAAGGCAAAAAGCTGTGATATCTTGGGAAGATATCTGCAAAGGAGTTGTTAATTCCTCTATTTCTCATCCATGGACAAAGCTAAAGTTTTTCCACTCCACACTTCGTAGAGCAGCCGTCTCTCTGCCCTCGTTGGAAGAGTCCTGAACTCAGATAACATCAGTCTAGCTGCCAGGTCTGCATGCCTCATCCAGGTGATCAGTTGCATCTGTGAAATAACGAAAAATAGGTGGATCAAGTAGTAAGCTTAAGAAGGGAGTCTTGGGAGCAAATGAAAGGAATGTCTCCGATTGGCACCTCTAAAAGTCTTTCATGAGGCTGAGGTGTATTGGGTTACCCTGAAAGCCAGTAATCATTTGAAGCCCTTCACCTCACTTTGTGTCACCAGACCTCGTGGGGCAAGAACAAATAGCTTCCTGCCAGGGTAATTTCTTTTCAGAAGTAGAGTTACTGTCACTCGGATAGAGTCATCAAAACCAGTTTTTACATCTTGTGACTTTAAGAAGTAGTACTCTGAGAGCTCCATGTAACAAAATTCCTTAGCCTTTGTACTCTTCGGGAAGTACAAGATCCAGGATGCAGTGAAGCAAGTTGGAGTTTCCCATAGCAACTCGATTCCCTGAAGCAGTCACTGTCCTCACACCTCTGTTCAGAAAGGTCTGATTTTTGTTCCCTATGCGGAGATATTCCTTAATCCAGAAAAACAAAAGTTTACTTTAGAGATCATAAATCAGTTTGATTCCCACACAAACCTCTTATGTTAAACATATTTTATTTTTTATTTATGAACACTTTATGTCTTTGCCCTAAATCATTTAAGAAATAAAGTGAAACTTAAATTAACTAATACCATATTTCACACTTGTTGACAGTTTCCTCTCATTTTTGTTTTTCTTCATGAATTTATATTTTTCCCTGTTCAAAAAATACTTATTTTAAATTTCTAGAAATTTTTGAAATTGTTTCCTGAATGTCTGGGTGTTTTTATACAGAAGAGTACAAATTTTAATTTTTCCAAGCATTACTTTGAACTTCGCAGCATTCTGTCCATAGAATCCTTTTAGGGGAGGAATCCCAAGGCCATGAGGCTAATCTAATATTTTGATGGCTAATACTGGACATTACTCCTCTGCCTAGCGTTAGCCATGTGACCAGGAGAGTAACATTCTTGGATAAAGTAGCCACTGCTCATAAGAATGTTTCAATCTATAAGCCATAAACTCTGGACTTCAAAAAACATGCACATACTTACAAAAACATGCATAGAAACCCCACGCTATGTAGCAGGTGTTATTAAATGTCCCCATAAGTTCAACTCAGTCCCTTTCAGGACATTGTTTGTTTTCCCTTTTCATCCTTCAGCATCCTTTCTGTGTCTTATCTTTGCTTTTTAAAATTGGAGGAAAACAGTAGTATTTGGCCTTTTCTTTGTAAGTATCTTCACGATCTTGCTTCTTCTATAGTAAGAGAAGCTCCTAATGTACGGTTTTACCTAACTCTCATTACCTGGCTTTTGTCCTAAGATAAGACTTTTTAAGGCTTAGCAAGCATGCTGAGGCTTGCATTGCTTTTTATAACCATTTTTAAACTTGATTTTTTGAGGTAGAAGTATTTATAGAATCAGGTGTGGTCTTTTTATGGGTAAAAAATCTATATTTTATGTGATTACTTGAGATCCTTCTAGTTGAAAAGAATGTTCTAATTGTGGCTGACTTCAATAGTTGCAAATAATTCATTGTTCATTATGTTTCAAACCTAAGTTTATAATTCTTGGTGGTAAATATTGACCTATAGAACTATTGGGTTTTTGAACAAGTAGGAAGTTTAGTTTTGCCCATTTCCCTCTAAATTAGGTTGGCTAGGGCTTCTGTGGGGGGTCTTTAAATCATAGGATGATAGCATTGATGGTGATTGCTAAGGGGCTTCATAAACTACCCAAGCTACTTCCAAAAGGATTTGAGGTAACAAGTCCTGAAGCAAGAGAGCCAGGTAATAAAACTCGACTAGAATGCTTCATTCAGATGGGAGGCAGAACAAGCTAACTGATTAAAAACTCTGACCTCTGGTTGCTGAAGCTCAAATCCTGACCTCAGCACTTGCCAACTGTGTGGCCTTGAGCAAGTTACTTAATCTCTCAGTACCCTATTTTCCTCACTTAGAAAATGTAGGTAATCATAGTATCTACCTCATGGAGTTGTTATGATGATTAAATGAGAGAGTACATGCCAAGCACTTATCATAGTGTTATTGTATTTTTATTTCAAGTAGACTTATTGGCTGAAAAAAATGGATCTACTAGCATCAAAAAGCCTGATAGCCTTATTCATATTATAGTCAGGAAGAGCTAATTTTCACTCAACACCAGCTAAGTTCCAGAAACTCTGCTAAATGTTTTAGCGTATATTGCCTATTCTGGAAAATAACTCCTGTGCACAATTGCTGGCTTGTTGAAAAGCTATTTTGGACATTTTGCTGATTCAACATCAGATAATGACTAAGACTAGTCACATATATGCCTACACGTTATGTGTTATAGCAGGTTATTAAGGAATCAGGAATGTAATATTCAATAATAAATTCTTTTTCTGTATTTTTTACTTTATATTGTATGTAAAAGTTTTTGTACCTCCATTCTACGTTGTGTTGAAATCTAGAAACAATTAGAGAATATATAGTGTATCTTAATTTTGGAGGGAGGAATGTACAATAAGCAGGTAATGTCTTCTAGTTCAAGGGTGCTGTAGTTATTATCATTGCTGATGTGTGTTCACAGTTTGTAGGCTCTTGGCTGGGGTTGTGCTTTCAAAGTGGCTACTGTGCAGTGCAGATTGTGATCTCTGCAGGATGCTCTTTGGGCATCTAGGACCCTAAACTCATCGGGACTCCTACCCCATGCAGTACTCAGAGTGGTGCTATCATGCTGGCATTGTACACACCATGAGATTGTTTTCTTCTAACACAACTGCATGACTAATGCACAGGCCTCAATCTGTCATGCTTTTGTTTTCTTAGTTGGCAGCAACTTCTAACCCGGGCCTCAGAGCCTTGGCTGGGTTGCAGTAAACCAACGTTTTTTTCTTTTTTTTTTGTTCTTTACTCACTAAAAATAAACCCATCTTTCAGAGGCACTGTCCACATGTTTTTAATCCATAAGAGATACAAGTGCTTTGAGTGAGTGGGAGGAAACATTCAATAGCTAATAAAAGGAATTAATTTCTCAGATTGAGAAGTGCTAAGACATGCTGTCTCCATTTGCTGTTGAAAATAAAATTGGTTATTGCATTATGCTTTTATGGCTGTGTCTCCTTTAGGCTGCATGTTCCTGGCCATAGGTGCTTTACAGCCTTCTGCCTTTTTAGCCTTTCACAATGCCCAGTGCTTGTAACATCTAGAGGGGTAATACGAAGTGTCAGGGAAATTCTTGCCTATGTGGCTCTTAAAGAGAAGGCAAGAGATTTTTTTATCATTAGTCAGTTTGGGTAGAAAGCTTTGAAAATATTTCTAAATTGTGTTGTGCATTGCCTTACTTTTTGAATAGAGTCTGCTCTCCAGATTACTTGAGGAGTGAAATTACAAATTACTTCATGGTTCAAAGTGATCATTTTTAACATTGTTTATTATACAATATTATAATATGGTAATGAGTCTAAGCTGTTGGGCTTAATTTCTTCATAAATATAGATATTTATGCAATAAGAATCAAAAGTCATTCGATCTCTATTACGAGGATTAAGTATCTGTGAGTGAGGAAACAGGTAAATGCTTTCTGACTTACTACAGCAAAATCACAAGTCGGAGAAGAATGTTTTTGCCAACTATATATTAATTCCCTTTTTCTCTAGGATATTGCCTGGTTCGATGATAAGGAAAACAGCACGGGAGCCTTGACAACAATATTAGCTACAGATACAGCAAAAATTCAAGGAGTATGTATATTGTTTTTATTTTTAAATGGTGTATATAAATGGTGTGCACATGTGCACATGCACACATGTGTCTGTGCATATATGTGAGCTGTGCTGAGATGACCCATATCATTAAGGAGACAGGTAAGTGTCATGTCAACAGGTGACTCTCAGTGAAAAATGAAAGGAAGTCTTTCAGTTCTGGGCATTTTTAATCCAAAACAAAGAAGATTTGACACATATAAGAGTAACTGGAGGACTAAAGAAGACACCAAGAATGAGTTAGAGAAAAGAGCTAAGAATTAAATAATAAAGAAAAGAAAATATGAAAACACTACATACTTCAAGAGTTTTTTTCTGATGATTAATTTTTTAAATTATTATTTCAAAATATTATGGGGGTACAAATGTTTTTGGTTACATGTATCAATTTTGTTATGCTTGAGTCAGGGTTATAAGTATGCCCATCACCTGGATAGTGTTCATTGTACCCGTTAGGTAGGTTTTTGCCCATCCCCCCTTGCCCCTTCCCCCTGCTTTGATTTCCACTGAATCTTACTTCCCTCTGTGCACATGTGTGCTCATTGGTTAGTTCCAGTTTAATAGTGAGTACACGTGGTGTTTGTTTTTCCATTCTTTAGATACTTCACTTAGGAGAATGGTCTCCAGTTCCACTGAAATTCTTGAAAAAAGCATTAAGTCATACTTCTTCATGGCACAGTAATACTCCATGGTATACATATACCACATTTTGTTAATCCACTTATGAATTGATGGGCATTTGGGTTGACTCCACATCTTTGCAACTGTGAATTATGCTGCTATAAACATTCTAGTGCAGGTATCTTTTTTATAGAGTGTCTTTTTTTCCTTTGAGTAAATACCCAGTAGTGGGACTCCTGTATCAAAAGGTAGTTCAACTTTTAGTTCTTTGAGGAATCGCCATACTATTTTCCATAGAGGTTGCACTAATTTGCAGTCCCACCAACAGTGTATATGTGTTCCTTTCTCTCTGCATCCATGCCAACATCTACTATTTTGGGAGTTTTTGATAAAAGCTATTCTCACTGGAGTTAGATGATATCTCACTGTGATTTTGATTTGCATTTCCCTGATAATTAGTGATATTGAGCATTTTTTAATATGTTTATTGGCCATTTGTCTATCTTATTTTGAAAAACTTCTGTTCATGTCTTTTGCCTACTTTTTGATGGGTTTGTTTGTTTTTTCCTTGCTGATTTGCTTGAGTTCTTTGGAGATTCTGGTTATTAGCCCTTTATCAGATGTATAGCTTGCAAATATTTTCTCCCATTCTGTAGGTTGTCTATTTGCTCTGTTGATTATTTCCTTAGCTGTGCAGAAGCTTTTTAATTTAATAAAGTCCCATTCATTTATTTTTGTTTCTGCTGTAATTGCCAGTGGGGTCTTCTTCATAAATTATTTTCCTAGGCTGATATCTAGAAGGATTTTTCCAACATTTCCTTCTAGAATTCTTATGGTTTCATATCTTACATTTACATCTTTTATCCATTTTGAATTAATTTGTATGAGTGATGAGAGATATGGATCCTTTTTCATTCTTCTGCATGTGGCTGTCCAATTTTCCCAGCACCATTTATTGAATAGGGCTTCTTTTCCCCAGTGTACATTGTCGTCTGCTTTGTCAAACAAAGATCAGTTGGCTGTATGTGGATGGTTTTATATCTGATTTCTCAGTTCTGTTCCATTGGTCTATGTCTCTATTTCTGTGTCAATACCATGTTTTGGTCACTATAGCCTTGTAGTACAGTTTGAAGTCTGATAATATGATGCCTCCAGATTTTTCTTTTTGCTTAAGATTGCTTTGGCTATTTGGGCTCTTTTCTGGTTCCAAATGAAACATAGAATTATTTTTTCTAGATCTGTGAAATACATTGGCATTTTGGTGGAGACTGCATTGAATCTATAAATCACTTTGGGTAGTATGGACATTTTTACAGTATTGATTCTACCAATCCATGAACATGATATGTTTTTCCATTTGTTTGTGTCATCTGCAAATTCTTTCCTCAGTGTTTTGTAGTTCTCTTTGTAGAGATCTTTCACTTCCTTGGTTAAGTATACTCCTAGGTATTTTATTTTCTTCATAGCTATTGTGAATAGTATTGAGTCTTTGATTTGACTCTCGGTCTGACTATTGTTGGTGTATAGGAATGCTACTGATTTGTGTACATTGATTTTGTAACCTCAGATTTTGATGAATTTATTTATCAATTCCAGGAATCTCTTTGTGGAGTCTTTAGGGTTTTCTAGATATAAGATCATATCATCAACAAAAAGGGATAGTTTGACCTCCTCTTTCCTGATTTGGATATCCTTTATTTTTTTCTCTGAGAAAATCATGCTCTCAGAGCATGATTGCTCTGACGAGGACTTTTAGCACTATGTTGAGTGGAAGTGGTGACGGTGGGATCCTTGTCTTGTTCTAGTTCTTAGGTGGAATGCTTATAACTTTTCCCCATTCAGTGTGATATTGGCTATGGGTTTGTCAAATATGGCTTACATAATCTTGAGATGTCTTACTTGTATGCCTAGTTTGTTGAGGGTTTTTATCATCAAAGAGTACTGAATTTTGTCAAATGCTTTTTCTGCATCTGTTGAGATGATCGTATCATCTTTGTTTTTGCTTCTGTTTATTTGGTGAATCACATTTATTGATTTACATATTTTGAACCAGCCTTGCATCCCTAAGATTAAGCCCACTTGGTCATGATGGATTATTTTTTTGATGTGCTGTTGGATTCAGTTTGCTAGTATTTTATTGAGGATTTTTGCATCCATATTCATAGGGATATTGGTCTGTAGTTTTCTTTTGTTGTGTCCTTTTCTGGCTTTGGTATCAAGGTAATACTGGCTTTGTAGAATGAGTTGGGGAGGATTCTCTCCTTCTTGATGTTATGGAATAATTTCTGCAGCATGGGTACCAGCTCTTCTTTGTAGGTCTGGTAAAATCTGGCTGTGAATCCACCTGGTCCAGGGCCTTTTTTTTGTTGGAAGATTTTTTATTACTACTTCAATTTCACTTCTCATTACTGGTCTGTTCAGGAGTTCTATTTCTTCCTTATTGAGTCTTGAGAGGTTGTCTATTTCCAGGAACTTGTCCATTTTCTCTATGTTTTTGAGTTTATGTGCATAGAGATTTTTATAGTATTCATACATGATATTTTGTATTTCTGTGGTATCAGTTGCAATATCT